TATTCATCTGAATTTCTACTTTCCTCCAATTCTTCTTTTGAAACATTACATTAGGCTTGAATGAAATTACATACAGCACGGTCCTAGAAAATCTTCTAATTTTGCAATTGCAAAGGTGTTTTTTTCGAAGCAGTTCATCACCTTGGTGAATTTTCCGTTCGATGAACAACTTCAAAAAATGAGATATTTTGAAAAGACGGTCGTCATTATCATTTCCAAGTGTAAAGCTCGTACAAAATTCCTCAATACGATTTCTGGTGATGATTAACCCATTGGCGACCGCGCCTTTTACATTGTCCTTACATTAACTTTTATTTTCTCTTATAGCTGTTGTGGGAAGTGAATGATTCCTGGACCACGATGCCTCAAGATTCTCTAGAAAGTTGTGGGCCCAGCTGATACTTGAAAACATGAAAAAATTATAAAAACATTTAATAGATAATTTAAATACCACAAGAGCACGACATGGTGTGGCCCGCCGACGGGCCACGCGGTCGTCAATGGGTTGAATTTCGCAATAATTTTAGTAAGTACATAAGCAGGCACAAACATGCCCTCAGTTATATTTCTAGCCAGATTGGAATCCGATATGCAATAAAAGTGAGAGGGAGGAATTTGTTGTTTATAATCGCGAAAGAAAAATTGCGGCACAATGGATTGGGTTGATGACACTACCCTGTTCAACAAGGAATGAAGAAAGCAATGATCGCAGTGGCCTAGGCCATTTCCTCTCATCTGTGTTGACCTAAAATGGGAACGATTTTGCTTTTTTTCTAATGGTTGAATCTCAAACAGCAGAGGGCAAGATAGGGCATACACATGAATCATTCCCCTTCACCACCCAGGATTCCACCGCTTTCATTTTCGCAATCATTTTCGTGGTGGTGACACTTAAAAAACATTNATCATTCGAACATCTGCGGAGGTGGCTCAAAATTATTACCATGATAGGGGTCATCATTTTGGGTAACGAGGTTACAGCTAGATTTACGACAGTACCAAAATTGTTGACAAATCATTCACAACAAACACCGTAACAGAATGAATCATCATAAAAAAGTTCCTACGATGGTCACAGCCCTTAAGTGAACATCGCATGGGAGAGTGACAACTGTAAGAATGAAGGCAACCTTGAGCTCATAAGAGGCTTTCTGAGATGGATTTACCTTGAGTGAAAACTGGTTGGTTTTCTGAGCTAATTTTTGGTTTAGGAATACTCCGAGCTGAATAAGAATGAGAGCTAGAACGAACCAGATGATGGTGTCAGATTGAGATCGATGAATACCGGAATACAGATTGAGGGGGAGAGGGTATGGCGGCTATATCAATTGGGGATCAGTAATTCACGTGGTAGAGTTCTATTAGTGCTTCATCATGCGTAAAAACCCTATTACTTGTCGCTAAGGTGGTCCTGGAATCACGTCAAAGTATCTACATATACTACTACAAATATTTCTTTTAAAAAAATTATATTTATCCAAGCGCTATCTAAAAAGGAACTAGCTGGTNCATTTCACCGAAGACTTTTGAGCGCTACTGTAGGTGTAGTGGAAGTATGATGCCAAAAAAGACGTTAGCACAGTGTGCATCTTTCGTCTCCAGCAACGTTAATTGATAAGAATAAATAATAAGTACAAAAAAATTTGGCGGCTTACTCATTGCATGTTTAGTAGTTAGTAACATTTTCGATAGTCAAAACAAATCTGAGTAATTGCTTAATTGACCGAATTCAAGAAATTCATGACATCTATTGTTGTTGTATCGATTACAGGAATTTTTCGAACGTTTCTGCTTAAGTCTCACGTCTTGTTCAGTTCTACTTTCTGCTTCAACTTCTCTGACTACACTTTGATTAGGGGGGATAAAAAACGGTTATTACGTCGCGATCCAATAAAGGCCTTATTTTACTTGCACTTTTTTGTTTTCTACTACTGAACTCTTCCCAAATCTTGCATTATGCAAGTATCAAAGCAATTTCTGATTACGATTTTTCAAAAAAAATTTAGTTATATGATTATATGTAATTGATGATATATAAATGAGCAAGATCAGTCGCACCTTCGACGTGGCTTGACAACAACCTGGGTGCAGCCCTTCCCTGATACCTTGAGTACTGGGAGTCGGTTGGTCTTCACTTCAACCGAGCACTCAATGAAGGGAAAAATGAAGTGCCGAATTCCTAGCATATTTAATATGAGAAATGATGCCACTTCATCATTCCATCGGCGCTTATATCGTGTTTTTTGTATTTTCCTAATTAATTTCCACAACACAATGAGGGCGGTAAAAATAGCTCAGAAGGTTGAATACATCGCAAATAAACTTTTTATTTTTCTATAATTGCTTGTTCCATCGAGTTCTAGGGGCAAGAGCTATGGCTCCACTATCCATGATTCTACACATGTAACTTCCCATACCTTCTTCATGGGCGAAGGTCGTGTAATTGTAAGTGGCGCAATATAATACAGACACGGTCGGTGCATAGGATCCCAGACCAATGCCCCGACCATGCGAATCAGACCTTCCATCAACCCGAGATCAGTTTACTGGTACAGACGTTTGGGAGGACAAAAGCACTGAGCATACCAATCCCAAAGAATCCCAAGGGCTCTATTGTTTCATTCTTTGCCTCGTTCTTTATGAGTTTTTCTTCTTACCCTGTAAAGGTAGCGCTGAGAAGTATTTGACTAAAGTAATCTCTACCAATTACTTCAGAAAATTCGTGACTTCATTTGTAAACTTATCTGTTATTTTTGATCACATGAATAACTCCTTGGTTGGCCCATGCACATATTTATATTACATTCTTACTGTTTACCTCGCATAATCGCACTCTGGTTTCTGAATAAACCGCAAGGATATTCATTCATAGGTTGCTCTTGGGACCTGAAAAACTGATCTTTCTACTCTGCCCCGTTTCCATTCAGCTTTGCTTCTTAAGAGAGCGAGCCTGTATTCCAGATTCAATAGGCAGCTTGAGTCCAACTCTAGCCGTTTCTCGTTTTCTGACCGTTTCTGGACTTTCTAACAGGGATTTTTCACACAACGTGCAACTTTCGTTTCTAAACGTCAAAAATTTTTCGAGCTTTTGAAAAGGAATTTTTGAATTTTTTTTTTGTTTGAGTGGCTCAATGAAGCATGACGATCTCATATAACCTTGATGTGGCCTCTGTATCATCATTTACATTTCTCAAACTTCTACTTCGGTGGCGTGGATCAATATGGAAGTCAGTAAAAAGTGAACTACTTTTATGGGTCGTTTCATATTATATTGTATTTTGTATCTACCGGTATGCCTTGACTACTACTCAACAAAGGTACGATCATAACTTTGCTGTTTGAAGTGCTCCTAATATTTCATTTCAGCGAAAAATCAGAATTATCTTAAGGAGCAAAGTAACTAATTCCATCCTATTTCAGGCAATTTGAAAAAATTGCTTATTATTGTAATACTAAATTAGACTACATTCCATTAACATTTATGCTCGCATTTTTTGTGAATATTATAGCTGATCGATGGCGGAAGATCTTCAATAACATGGGCTGGATCGAAAAGTAAGTTTTTCCGTGTTGTTCTATAAGGTAAACAAAGAAAAACAAAGTAGAATAACAGGAAATTCTATTAAAAGTCCTTTATTGTATGAAAATTAAAGGTCGAGGTCTAAAAGAAAAGCCATTTAGTTTTGAACAATCTCGTTTTGAGATGGTACCACGAATTCGACCTTCCAGAATCGTATGTGGTTCTGAATAGGTATGTGGCGAATCCATGGCTTGCGATGGCTAACCGATGAAAAAATCAGTGTTTTCATACTCCCAGAAAAGTCTCTTATTGGATAACCATCCCTGCATGCTTAACTTATTTGTTTCGATCCACGGATCGTGCCTGTGAAGTGCGATAGACAGCGTTGTACGGCTTAGAATGATACTATCGCAAATAATTTGAAGGGTGACAAACAACACTGAAAATGTCAAATACTTACTTCCACACAAGCCACGATTTTAAAAAAGATTTCGTTCATACTATTTAGCCTGGCTCTTACATTAACAGCAGTGCTACGAAGCGATGAAGCCCATGAGGAAGAGGCCAGACTTATGCGTCGAGCGATAATTCGATATATGATATTGTCCCAGGTGAGCGCTGTATTCGTTCGTAGGATTATGATGCACCATTTAAAGGATTCTCGGGAAGTCGATGGGTCTCTAACCACCAATAACTTTACGGGTAGAAAAGCATTCGAAGGATCGCTTTGTTCATTACAGATCTTAGTGTATCGGGATATATCCATGCAGGTTCGACGACGATTTCCTGAACTTTCTTCGATCGTCGATGAAGGTGTTTAGAAGGATTTAATTCATTACAGCTATAAATTTCATGTTAATTTTTAGGATTCATGATGAAACATGAGCTGAAAGAATACGAAGATGTACACATACCAACAATAAAAAAGTAAGTTTTTGCGGATTTTTCTTCAAAAGTCAAAATGCGGTTGCCACACTTTTCATGAGGGCACTGGATCATTTTTTGACTTGGTGTTTTGTTAATTGTTGCTATTTCATCGAAGTACGCGATCCGAAAGTCTCTCAAGGTTGGCGAGAACAAACGGATTCTCGGGAGTGCATGGAATAAAAAGCACGGTGCTTGGATAGCACAAGTGTTCAACTCCCTCCCGAGGCCATGGTTTTGTCAATAGCTCACCTACCTTATGAGAGGCTGCATTACTTTCTGGTAGCGTTTTGAGCTGGGTCAATTGTTTTTCTATGCAGTCATGGGAACGGATTCTCGGGAGTGCAAGGAATAAAAAGCACGGTGCTTGGATAGCACAAGTGTTCAACTCCCTCCCGAGGCCAAGGTTTTGTCAATAGCTCACCTACCTTATGAGAGGCTGCATTACTTTCTGGTAGCGTTTTGAGCTGGGTCAATTGTTTTTCTATGCAGTCATGGGAAATGATTGATACTATCGATTTGTGACTCCTCTAAGAATAAGTGGCATTCCATAGTAAGATATATTAGTATAGGTACTGGCTCCCAGTCAATTGGGCCGTAACATTACTGGCACGAGCTCGTAACAAACAATACATTGCTGATCCACCCTCCTACAGTTTGATCATGAAGGTGAGCCTTTGGAAGAGGTTCAGTTTGTCTGGGAGATTCTGCAAAGAAGCATTTTCAGGAAGTTGTTACCTTCCGTACTCATCTCGCTCTACTGTGTAATTATGATTGGGTTCCCATACCGATAGCATATCCTCAGGCACGTCGTCGTCCATCTGTACTCCATCTATAAATTTTTGTAAAAACTACTCATTTCAGGTTGTATTCCTTGCTGTACGCTCATATTTTATAATATGTCTTGTGTCGCGACAGTTCCTCATAGGGGACGGTGCTCCAAACGGTTCTACGGTATGAAACGAAAACTCACATTAGTTACAGTAGCAGTTTCGTGGGCGTGTGGACGGAACGGAGAAGAATTTTTCGGGTTGGTTACTGAACGTTCTCCTACCGATGAAATCCTGAACCCGTACCCAAACGTTCCACCCACACTTGTTCGTCATTTTGAAGGTGATGGGTAGCCTTCAATAAGTTAACAAGAGCATTTCAGGTTGATATATACGTGCCTGTGATGACTATTCTTCAGTTTATTTTCTTCGTTGCTTGGATGAAGGTCAGCACAAAACGATTGTTTTTCAAAACTACACATAAACAGATTAGACGACCTAGCCTGAATTAGCTATTAGGGCCTCTGAGAAGATCAAAAGCCACGGAAAGTAGGAGGGGATGGATGCGGTCACCGACTGTATGGCACATGCAGGCTTCACCGGGAGACCACTCAGCCCTTTCTAAAGTTCACGTTCGCCTTCCGATTTTGTTCTGTGCTGTAATAGCAGGAGAAGGGGGAGGGGGAGGGGGNGGGGGGGACCTTAGAGATAGCGAACTGACCAACGAAGCTGTGATGATGTGGTTAACTTGAGAAGTGGAGTCAAGCATCATACTATGGTACACCTCCCATTGCTCATCATCAGTTAGCAATACCTCTCACTCCTGTATCGGTTTAATGACACAATTTGTCTTGCTCGGTACTTGCGACTGGTCTTTCCAAGAAGGCCAAAACTTCCAATAGCAGAACAAGATTAGGTAGAGGATGTGGGTGGCTGATTCGAGGCCTATTCAAATCTGAGTATTTTTCCATAAGAAACAGCAATCACTGATATGCCCTGTTAAGGTGGCTGAAGCGCTACTGAATCCTCTTGGAGAGGACGACGACGATTTCGAGTGCAATTTTCTTATCAATCGCAATATAACAGTAGGTAAAGGGCTACAAAAATGGGCTACATATCTACGTTCAGCTTCGACTCAGTACGCCAAAGAATAGACATAGATTTGTAGCCCCTTTTTGGAAACTCTACTTTGTGTCACTTGAGTTATTCGCTTTGTTGACAAAACTTTCCCTGGTTACTAATTTTTCACTTGTTTTCTTCTTCGGGGTATTACTATGGGTACTAATAGCTAGTGAAAGGAGTAAGAATTCACTAGCTGATCTCAGATCTGCTGTTAGAAAAAGTCATTCTCCGAAGAAAATGGAAAGGCTCGAAGAAAGCAAGACCCGAGTGACCGTGTTCTTTATACCGAGTACTATCAAAGAAATTCAATCGAAATCGCTTTGTGATGCTCGGTGTAAATGACATAGTCGTACTCAATGGCTCTTGAATAAGAGAAGGGAGGAAGAAGTAAGAATTCACTACTATAAGTCAGTGCAGCACAGTAGTAGGGGTCTTGCAGGGTCTTGCAGGAGGTCTACTGTCCGCTCAAGAAAGTTTGACTCTGTCTGTCTGCGCTCTCCTAATCGGACTGCGTTTGATTAATCTCCCCACGAAAACGGTAGAACACCCTTTAGGGTATTTCAGACAGTTATCATATCATATCGCATCAAAAGTACTTACTACTGAATATTATTGATAGCTATAAATAATATTTTGAGGTGATTCATGTCATGAAGAACTATAAAACCCCTCATTAAGGTAGTCCATATGTAGCTCAAAGCAAACTAACTTTTCCCCTTACTTGTTGAGAGGACGCCGGAGAGTAGACAGTGACCTTGCTCTGTCACCTGACCCATTTGGCACATGATATGCCTCTTGAAGTGACCTAATTTAGTTCTTTTCCATGTGCTTACATTTTGACGTTGAAATCACTAGTTAAATTGTCTAAACCTTTATATTTTCTATATCGGTATGGCTATTGTTGACGAAACGGCCGGAAAGTGTCCTGAGATGTGTCACGACTCATTGCCCAATCCTGATATCACGCTTAGCGGTGGTGGAGACTATGGTGGCGATCATGCACTTGTTGGATCGGTTTCGGACGTTGTGTAAGTCGGAATCCCGAGAAATTATTCAACATAAAAGATAAAAAAGAGCACGACATCGATAAGTACCTTGGCGACATACTTACCAAGTGAAGGGAGTTCCTCGCAGTACTATTGATGAGGGAAAACCGTATCCGCTTCTGTACAGAAAAGCTAAAAAACTGAAAATCGAGCACGTTCCCATCTCTGGTTTCCTCGTTTTTCCAAAAACTGGGTTGCTGTATGAGGCCCGAAGGCCCATGTTGAAACAAACGTCTATTAGATGTCGCTAATATTCGAGTGTATGGCGTAATCGGCGAGTTACAAGACTAGTTGTTTGAATTGAAATTTAATTAATTTTCTTGCAAATCCGCAAAAAAAACGATTAGATGTTCTATTTATTTGCAGATTACCCAAAACAAGTTCGGTGGGAGACTTCACTCGTCTTGGATCCTGTGAGTTTTGGTATCTTCCGTAGAGATTACCGGATTCCGCCTGGAATGCCATAGATATCTTTAGTAATGTCATCAATCTCTTCAAGGCGATCATCAGCACGGTTATCGCGAAATTCAACGGCATCAGAATTAGGAAGGTCTGTTTTAGTAGAAACATCTTGGCCAATGCATTATTAACTTGAACCACAGTTTCCAAGCAGCTGGGAAAAATTTTTGTATTTAAAAGTACCGTATCTCCAGGAACAACAAAACGCCTTCCTCTGTAGCGGTGGAGTCAAACGCAAAAAATAGCCCAAATCAAGGACATCATGAGTTCGACGACATTACTCCGGGTGATTTTCTCAGAAGTGAGTTTCCCGATCTTTATTTATCGACCAAAAACGAATAGAAACGTTGGAAGGTGTTCGATCTCATATAAATGATCTGAACATCGAATTTCAACAATAACATTTTCAACTGACCTTGATGTGGCAGCACAGTACCCCTAGAAGAGGTCAACCACGGGCTCGGGTATACTCTGGCTCCAACACTAGGAGCGAAAACTAGTCTGAATCTTTCATCTAAACATGTTGGAAACCGTTTTTCGGCGCTTGCGGCTCCCGGAGGGGATCTCCTGTTCTCGTTGACTCTATCCACTTTGGAGGAATCAAAAAATTCACTTGTTTTCTTAGAGGTAGACGATAAGGTTGTTGAGGAAGTGAAGGGGCTCGAAGGGAGGAGAGGGGAGGGAAGGTAAGGAGGGTGAGTGGGGAGAAATCTTCAGAGAGTCTTTCATGCAAAGAGCAATTTCATGCGGAAGGATATGGGTCGGAGGTGCCATGGCGGTCTCTTCCTCTGACGTAGGTCGCCGGACGCGCGGCTCCCCCGACAGAACGTGTAATGACCGTTTGACTAAACCTGCAAAGGTGAAGGGTCCTGATACGAAATTGGTATAAATGTTGAATAATTATACTTACTTGTTGTTATAGTTCATCATTCGACAAGGGACAAACCAATCACGTTCTCAACATCGCTAACACCTCTCAAAGAGGAATCTGAAAGTACCAAGGTGATCATTATTAATAAATTCACTTAGTTGAAGATTCATATGCTAGCTAGCTGATAGCTGATAGCTAGATTTGAAAGCTATTTACAATAAACGACTCAATTAAGTATTTAATACCTTTTTTGTTCAGGATAACAAAAATGAAGGTGATGTGGTGGCTGTCGTTAAACTCTGAGAGACGGTATCCAAGCATTGAGGACAAAAGGAATGGATCAATGGATCATATGAAACTAGTGCAATGGGAGATCGCGTGCTACAGTGAACGATCTAATAATAAAATGAATGAATAATAATAATGAAATAAATAGATGAGAAGTCTTTGATGACTGGTTACTGTAGTGAATATACCGTAAGCAGGGCTGATTACTGTAGAAATCAGTCAATCAGCTCATGAATTAAGGTATCTGGTACGATAACTCTATTTGTTTATACAAACAAATAGGATCCACCAGTTACTCTTGAAATAGGGATTTTTCACATGAGTTTCTTAGCTTTCTAATCCCATTGTGACAACCGGGATCATTACCAGTAAGGAGCCCCGATGCTTGACATTGTACAAAAAACAGAATTGAATGGAAAGATCATCACGGACTAGATAAAATCAATTTGTTCGGAGACTTATCACGACCCAGAAGTTAAGGAATCTGGATATTCCAAAATCTATCCTGTTGCCAGGCTGGCGTGACAGCTATAATGAAAAGCTTCTGACCAAACTCATACCAGCCGCTTCCGGCCTTCTGATCGATTTTTTCCCTACTCCATCCACTTTTTTGGCCCAAACCATCAGCTTTGATCAGACCTGCTTACCTACTCTCTCAAATCATGTTTCATGGGCTCCTTACATGTTGGCCTTGTGTGCCGAGCCGGCTCCTGAGAGAATCTGATATTCTCATTGTCAGTTTTTTGGCAATGTTTTGAAGAAGAAAAGCAAGCTGTACCGAGGGTTTTTAAGAGTTACCTCCCTGGTGGTTGGAAAGATACCATGCTCTTACATCGGTTATCAGCTAGCCATGCGTTTGTTTTCTACACGAGTTTTAGGGGGAGTAGGGGGAAGGGGTTGGGGAAGATGGGGTGATTGGAAACAATAGTTTCCACATTCACTCGTTCATTACGTTTCACCACGCTAGCGATGGCTAGGAACTTTGTAGGCCTTAACAGCAGCCGAATTGAGTAGCCATGCGAAAGCTAAACCCTTTTGTCTCATCTTGTAGATCTCTCGTATAGAATTGCCACCAGTAACCAATCCAATTTTTTAGCTAACAATTTCTACAAAAATAGTTTCTTGAGTACATAGGTACTCAGTTAGCAGGTGTAGTGGAGAGGTAAGTGGTGCACTATCACAAATGCATAGTCCAGATATCAAGGTTCGACTCGTTACCTGTTCATGCCAAACATCCTACCGGCTCACATGATCGATACTAGGCCTATATGGGAAGTTGAAAGCACTGGCTTGTACATCGACCAGCCTAGCAAGTCCTTTTTTGAGCCCCATACGCATTCAAAACGCTACTACGATTTTGACTATAATCTATCGTTTCAGGTGTAATGATTGTTGCCAGTAAAGTATCGGCGGCAACATGGGTGTCAAATTGTCCTTTTACAATTTTTCCGGTTTCAAATGGAGTTTAAAACCGTTAAGTGGAAGCTAATGTTGGTCCGATCTTGTGGCGCCATTCAGGTGCTGTTCAAAACTCTTGGCTCAGGTGATGCATCGCTGTGCCCTGCTGTTCTGACTCTACTTAGAAGTTGTAAGTTGCAGTTTAGCAGCAGCAGGAAATGTGATCAATTATTGACCACAAAATGCTCTACAAACACCCTGTTGAACTGATTCCCCACAATCTGTCGACAAACCTTGAAGTTTTCCGTGTTAAACTATCCCGTTTTTTGGATGCGCCCCGCATACGATTTCCATTCAGATCCCTAGTGGCCTACTGAATGCATATGGGTCCAATACGTTGAGAAGTGGTGGCGAGCAGATTTGCAAATCAGTGCTTCTAACCTCCCAGACGAGCCTCAATAAAAGACTACGGCGCCAGACTTGGTTGGCCTGTACGGATATCTAACCGGGTTTCGATCCCTGGATCATGAGGGTGATAGTAGGCGCCACTTGCCACTGCATCATCCACATGCTAGAATAGGTAGAGCAGAAAAAATTGATATATTTCGAAAGTGTTTCCATATTGAATTTATAAATATATGCTAAGCAGGAAATCACAAACGACCCCAGCAGCCTCATTCCCTTATTGTATTGTATAACCCATATGCAAGTGAAACTAATACGATCTGCAATGTATTACAATCTTTTCTTCATTCAAAGCCTTTCTAGTCCTGTTCCAACATAACAGTGAATTACCCATCCTGTATGTCAGGGTAAGCTTCGAGGTTACGACCGTCTCACGATACAGCTGAACCTCAAGGAGTAGTTAACGCGCTCTAACTTTTACAGCTGTGTGAGCTAACTAGCGAAGAATGTCTGACTCCCTGCCTTGCCAGCTAGAGCGCAGACGACAGAGGCCAAGTTTGAAACGCCAGACGAGACGTAGTCCTTACTTTTGATTTAGTTAGTTTAATCGATGAAGCAAACCATTTTCTTGGTTCAGACGTATATAACTAGGCGACCGTGAATTTTCCTCAGTAAGGGTTTTCGCTTTCTATGTACTTTGCTAACTCGCGTCGTTTTTCCATTAGGAACAGTTTCTTGGTGATGTTTTATGACGGATTTAAGTTTAATTATGACTTAACTATTTTAAGGCTGCTCGAAGGATTCGGTCTGACAAATGAGTGAATTCGTTGAGCACAGCCTCGAAGGTCTATTACCAACCTTTGAGCAGCTCAGTTACGTTCAATTGTTTAGTGAAAGTGAAGTGAACGCATTCATCAAACGATGCCGGCAGTTCGAGTACAGACTGATGAAACATGTAGGTTTTATTTCCTGAATCCCTCAAAAGCTTTCTCACTTCTTATCCTCCATTAACGGCAGAATTTGACATCACGTCATTGTTACTCATTTTGTTTATGTTGTTAAAATCGAAAAATAGTTGTGTTCACTTATATTTTCCTTTGTGTTTTAGGAAAAGACTCCTCGAGACTTCAATCTCTACGCTGACTACCTTTGTGACTTTCTGAAATTGCTGAAAAGTCGAAGAACAAAATTACAATATTGGGAGAAAAAGAAGCTAATTGATGATCCACTGCGAAAAAAAGTTGCCAGCATATACAGAAGGGCCGCTGATCGGTTTCAGGTAGATTTTCTGGTCAACCGCTGTACAATTTTCATTCAACAATTTCTTGGCATGATATTCATTCTGCTAACAATAGAAGTAACTATGTACAATAACCGTAGTGCACATTTAGGGCGATTTACGGTTATGGGAACAGCTGATACACTTCCTTGACGAAAATTCAATGCGTCGTGAATTATCCGCTGCCTATACCCGTGCTCTACAGGTAAGTTTCTTTGTTTCCTCCATTTTTGAGTTCAGTTAAGATGGGGTTTGGTTGCTTTTATGATTCTCCTCTGGCCTATAGCTTTGCTTCCTTAGCTTTGTCTTCGTAGGGCTAATGTCTTCGTAGTTCTCAATAAGGATGAACTCACCCATGGATAAGGAAACGGGTTCGTGTAAACTCGCGAAGCTCACATCTGGGGGCTAAGGTTCATCTCAGTCGTGCTGCTTTTGCAATGGTTGCCTTCGAGGAACTTCGTTGCGGATGTGATTTTGATGTGATCTAGTTCCTCTAACCGTCGCTCGCCTAAAAAGAACCAATATTTCTTTATGGTCCTTTCTCTTTTTTTTTTGTTTACTGAATTAATTCATCGCTGATCCAGATCCATGGAAAGAACGAGAAGCTCCGGAGGGATTTCGCTCTATGGCAATTTTTCTCTGCTGCAAGCCCCCAGAATGCTCGTACGCAGATCTTGACCTCGTTACGTCTATTGCCACAGTCATCCATGCTTTACGTAGCGTTCTTCGCAATTGAAATACATTTCGTCCACAAGTAAGTTCATGATATTTGTAAGCACTATGCTTTGTTAATCCCGACTTTTGCTGTTATATTATCATATCAGGGTGCTTAAACGACGAAAGTACCTTTTGGAAAAGGAACACGATGAAAGCTCTGAGCCTGAAGGCGCTGACCGTGATCGTAAGCGCTTTTTAGGAGCGTCAATTCAAAAATTCGTCCTATTTTTATTTTGTAGGTGTGTACGATGGGAACGTCGACGATACGATAATGAATCTGGATGTAGCAAAAGCGGTTGTCGAGCAAGCACTGTCTGCTGTACCAAGTAGTGCTGCCTCAGGTGTTTTTGAATTGTTCTCTTGTTTGAAATTACTTTCAAGAGTTTACAATGCTACTAGCATTAGTTTGCCCATCCCATCTTTCAACAAGTTTTTGAATTATTCATCAGCTGAAGTTTCATTGTTAATCTCGTGTTTGTTTAGGTATGCTTGTGGAAATGTGGAATGAATGCAACAAAGTGGAGGTCCCCAACATTGACAAAGTGCGGTCCTTTATCGTAGAGAAGCTTGAAAAGTTTGACAATGAAGATACTCGGCTGTTCGAAATAGAGTCGGCGAAGGACAGTGGGAAGGTAATGATATCATTTCTCCGAACATGCGGGTTTGAATTAAGCGCTGTTTTTCAGTCGAAGTTCGAATTGTATGAAGAGGCACTGAGGAAGACGCCCACAGAGCGAATGCATCGATTGTACTTGCAGTGGCTTCGGGATTCACAACAAAAAGGTATTAATTATTGAGTCGTGAGTAACTTTCATACAGTATTTTTTTCGTTTTTGGGTTCCTTGACAGGCTGTCAAGCTCATTGTCGCCATTCAAGCTTATTAAGATGCATTTGTCGAAGGGAAAATCCATGACGTGTACCGTGGCTTATGTGATGGTGGATGGATGAGCGATAAAGACTGGAAAGAGATGGAGAGGATCATACACGATTTTCCGGATGAGTTTGACACCGATTGCATTGCAGAATATGTCGAGGTGCGTGGGCGGTTGATGGCTTTTTCTCGGGATATCTAGTTCGAAAAACTTCTTTATCGTGTCGTTTTTCAGAAAAGGCCTCAGTCTGCAGCGATATGGGATGTGTACCTTAGAAAACATGTCGATAATGCGAGCATATCAGCGGATGATTTTAGAGAGTTATGTAATCAAGCTTTGGAAAAGGTAGTTCGATGCAGTAATTGTTCATATATCCTTGTTTACGAACGATTTTCGTTTCCAGTTGGTACAGTAATGAATCCTATATTTAGGTAGATCCAGAGGAGAGTTATCCGATTTGGCAACATGCCATCGACTATACTATCATGCATTCTCCTAAGGATACCGAACAGGTGTGTGTCGATGAATTACACATTCATTCTCCTCATTTCTGTATTCTGTCGCGTTGTTTTGCATTGGACAGCATGCTCAGTAGTTCATATAGATACGTACTACTTATTTAAGTGCAAGCGGAAGACATTACAGCCTTTTCGTCAGTCTTATTCTCTAACTACAGGAATATCCTTCTTCGGCTGGAGTTGATTCTAAAAAAAAAAAGTTCCGACATCATTTTGTATTATAGTTTTGATGATTCGGAAATCATTTCTATTCCTAACTCGGTATTTACTGCTTCACGAAATTCCTTACAGACGTTCAAAGATGCGTTGAAGTATGCGAATGCAAGTGTAGCCTCAAGGATCAAAATCTTATTCGTGGAGTACCTGAACGAACTTTTTGATGAGGGAAAGATAACAGCCGAACGGTTAAGGGGAAGAGTAATGGATCTCGTCAACAGCAAACCGAACAGGTTCAAATTTGCCTGCGTGTTTCGTCTACAAATTCTTTTCGTTTTTGTTTGGGTTTTGTAGAAATTTCCACTTGGAACTTTGGTGGGAAGAATAGGATGGCTTTCTTTTTGCCTTTCTGGGCATATGATTATAATGATGAAGATAAACTCAGCTCCTCCTGAATGTTGACTCCTCTTTGATCTCAACTGCTTTGATATAGGTCGGAGTTCTACTGCGCTTTGTACCGAAAGGAAATGGAACGGCCTACGCCTGACACGAAATTCGCTGGTTATGTCATCAAAACAGCGGTCATGGAAAAGGATGGAGTTTCAGTGGAAGCAGCCATTCTGTATGGGGAATGGGCGTTAATGAACGATCTTACAAAGTTTCACGTTATTCATCAGGTATACTGTCGTTTCCAAATTTTTTACCCGCATAGCTGTTCCCGGTTATTGTAAGATTACATTTTTTTATGACTTCTATTTCTTTTTTTTTTNNNTTAGTGCCCTTTTTCATATATACGAACGTCACATCATTGGGAAAATCACTTAAGAATAAAGCAGAATAAGACATTCTAAATCCAGAGAAATCACTTCAATAGCTGTTTGATTTTCCAAAGTTGACCGGTCTCAAGAGGGTAGGATTGTCTCTGAAATCCCCCCACGCTGCTCGGAATATCCCGTTATAGGGACAGCAGCGTGAACGTTCTTTTGATTTTAGTAGTTGAAGCTTGTTTTCAATCGTTTTCAGGCACTATATTTCCATCTATTCCAGTTGTTTCATAATTGAAGGTTTTCCACTGTTTTCATGGCAAATGTGAAAGTTTATTTTGCTTCAGATGGGTCTGAAATTGTTCGAAGGGCCTGAGTTAGACGAGTTTCTAGTACAGTGGACACATTTGGTTCAGAACGCAGCTTCCAAGGTGAGAGAATTTGATGTTACATCCTCTGTTCGAATTTCCTTCTTTTTGTTGTTATCTCTTAGAAATCCACTTGTAGAATGGTGATGTCACGCTTCTTTTTTTGCCTTCGCGTTTTTATTATAATATCTCGTAGGGCAAAGACAATGCTGAAGAAGTACATGCGGAAGACGAAACAATCGAGGATGCTCCTCCCCTCAGAAAAGAGGGCGAATGTCAATGTAAGAAACTGCTTCAAGCCGCGTGTTTAACTCTCGTTTTGATCTGCTTTCTTAAGGCAACTGCGAAAAGTCACGAAATGAAAAGAAGACGAATCTGGGGAAAAGAAAAGCAAAGCGAAGTAATTCGAAAGAAGGGGAAAAGATACTAAGAGCTGATTGAAGAAAGTGTATCATGAATTTTATGGAGTACAATGGTGATAATTTTGAAAAAAAACTCATGTAAGTTTTTTTGTCTTTCCTTCGCAATTTCGTTTACTTGTATATACACTCATCTTGCAAGATTTATGTTCTGAAGAGTTATTCTATTGACCGTTGCTTGTTTATTTGTTACAAATCTTGTTATTACACATCTTCTGGAATGTGATTTGTTGATTTTCAAAAGTTTGTTAAAAGTTGGCATACTAATAATGCATAGAGCACATGAACACATGCTTTGAGAATACACATCAATCATTGCAGCTTTGCAATCTCACTCTACCTTGCATATTGAACTACATTTGTGTAGTCCTTGCATATGATACAGTTCTGAAATTGTGGTTTTCTACAGGGAAACGACCATTTACATATAGTAAACAAGGTGTGCGTGCCTCCGGTATATACTTTTGTCGTGCTGGCTACGGTAGAGGGTGTTATAATTGAGAAAAGGGTGGTCTACCGTGTAGAAACTTATTGGTTCTTAGTCGGTTCCTCCTCAACTTTGATGCATACCTTTTGTATACTCACCCTTTTCCTTCCGATTCGTCGAGAGTTCCATGGGATCAAGCTGTCAGGAACATCTTGAGAATCCTGACCTTGCCTAGCCTGCTCACGTGCCTTCTCCAGCGAGCTTTTTTGCTAATATTGTTGAAATGTTCCCGATTTGTACGAACATTTGAATCAGGATTCTATGCAATGGAAGATGCACCTTCATGTATGGCTGTTTGCTTAGCGAAACGAG